CTCTCCTGCTGGCAGAGGGTGATCCCTGTGGCACAGGGGGGGCTCTGCAGGAGCCCCCGAAGCCCCAAGGCTGCACTAGGAGCAGTGAGTCCTGGGGCTTTTTTCTCAGCTTCTTTTTTTTCTTAAAGGGCCAGAGTCCCGGGGTGGGGGGGGAGGGTCGAGGGGGCTTGTGCAGAGTGCCCCATGCAGCATGGGGCAGTGGGGATTGCCCCCTGCCCGGCAGCACCTGGGCTTTTCTTTAAAGTAGCAGGAGCTGGGGTGGGCAGGGGTCAGCAGGGCTGGCAGGGGTCCCCCCCATGGTCCCATCCCCCAGCCCCACCTCCCTCCTCCCACCCCTAGTACTTACCAGCTCTGAGTTCAGCTGCAGCTCCCTGCTGCAACCTGGACTGCCCGTCATCCCTGCCAAGCTCTCTCTCTCTCTCTGGCCTGTCTCTCAGGGTCCCACCTTGCTTCCTCTTCTGCCACGTCTTGATGGAAACTTCCTGAAAGGGAGGCTGCCCTCAGAGACTGGCAAGCCTAAGGTGCTCTCTCCTCTCCAGTGGTCGGCTCTCTTGACCTTGCTTGTCTTAAGGGCTTATTATATGGGCTCCATCCTCTCCAGTACCCACTCCCATGCTTTGCAGATGTCACTGTACCATAAATCTTCCTTGTAGGGGTCTTGGCCTGATCAGCCTCCACCCCTTTCTCTCTTGCTGTGCCTTTTAACTCAGGCCTATGGTACAGGACCTGGCTTCTGGGCTCCATCCTTAGCCTTACCCTATTGGGCTCTGGCTTATCCTCTCTCGAGCTTTAGGTCCTATCCCCAACCTAGTCCGGGTGCTGGACACTCAGCTCCCATCCTCTCCCTTGGCTGCCAGACCCCCTGGGCCTATCCCTGCCCTGCTCTGGGCCCCCTGGCCCCTGTCTCCAACCCTCTCAGGCTGCTACCCTCTCAAGCTCCGGGCCCAGGCTCTGCCCCTCTCTGAGCTTGCTGCTCTCTCAGGCTCCAAGCTCTGGCCCCTAGCTCTGCCCTTCACCAGGCACTGGGCCTTCTGCTCCCCAGGCTCTGTCTATACCTTGAAACTGCCCCTAGAAGGGGTTCAAGGTAATCCTGTGCCCGTAGGATACTAATGGGACCTCCAAAACCACCCCTCACAGGCCCACCCAGACTACTGGTTAAAACCCAAACACAAATTTGTCCCCTTTTGTAGCAACACAAACACCTGACCCACTGGCCACCTACCACCCTTCTTCCGGGCCCTGAATCAGGGCCCTTGGGTTGCTCTCAAGGCTCCCTCCCAGGGAGTCATCAGTAGCAACTGATTCACAGCAAAGCTTCCTCCCATTGCTGCTTCCTGGGTCTCACCCCTTGCTCCACCTCTGACTCTGGCTTATATACTCCTAAAGCCCTGCCCCCTTCTGGTCATGTGACTCCCCTGTCAGCTGGCATGATCTCAGGGCTGTCTCAGTGGGGACTGCTGGCTGCCTGGGTCTGTGCTACAAACACCTTGCCCTTAAAAGGGCCATGCCACTTTCCAGTAACAGGGCAAGGGTTCCCTGTTGCAGTCAGTAATATAGACCTTCACACCTGCTAAGCCCTCTAGCATCTGGCTCATTGTGCAGTGAAATACTTTTGGAGATGAGCATATTCCAAAAGGCTGTCTTAGGAAGCAATATAGTGTTGAAAAAGTGTGTTGAAAGTGCAGATTTGGGAGGTATCAGTGTTCAAAGGAATCTGACAAAATCCTGCTGATGCACCTAGTTTGCTGAAGAATTAGGCTCCCACCATCACTGACAAGAGTTCACTTGTGGGTAAGTGAAAGATCAACTCCTTTGTGTCTATACATATAGCTGTAGTCGGCCTCCTTTTTTCTCCACAGTCTAGGGAGTGGACCCAGTCCTTTTGTTCTTCTTTTCTCCTAATTATACCATTCACTGTCATATTTTATAGCTTTTCTTTTAGACTTTTTCTTAAAGCATGTGGGTTATTTTGTGGCATGTCACTGGTTCTGCATCTTCTCTTAATCATATTCTGCATGATACTGTGAATTCTGTGAATACATCTTCATACAATGCTATTAGTGACTTCAAATTTGATTCAGTGCCATCTTCCAGCCTTTATGTCAGTGGTTCCCAACCTTTTTCATACCGTGGACTGGCAAACTGTGGACCGGAAGTGACTGCGGACCATCATACTGCGGACCAGCATATTATGGACTGGCAGCCAACCCTTCATGGCCTGGTGGTTGGGAACCTCTGCTCTACGTTATATATATCCTTTTAATGGGCATGTCTACCTGAGGCACTTTACTGTGCAGCAGACTACCATCACTGTCTTCACATGCACAGCTATTAGGGTGCACAAAACTAATTAACTCTGTAGGAGGGTAGTCTTTTAAAATACAAGGACTACCCTGCTGCAGAGTTTTTTCATGTGCAGCAGCGCACGTGTAGATGCTTCCTCAGCTGGAAAAATCCCTGCCATGACAACAAGTGTCCTCTTCCCCTTGCCCAGAACTGGACACAAGATGTATGTTAAATGCTGCAGCCCAGGCTAGGAATTTTGACAGTGGTGTGTCTATGCTCCTGCTGAGACTAAAACCTCTGTTCCTAGCTAGAGGGTCTTGCCCTTCTGCTCAGGATCAGGCCAATCACCACATTGGAAATCAGGAAGGAGTTTTACCCCATGGTCAGATTGATTTAGACTGTGTGTACTTTTGCCTTCCTCTGTAGAAGGGACACAGCTCTCTTCCCTGGATCTCTCCAGGGCATCTTACCAGCCCCTGTAGCAGCCCCTACTTTACCTGTGGTAGGTTACGGTTCTACACCTTATAGATGTGTAACAGGGTTTCATAGTTTCTAGGGCTGGAAGGGACCTGAACAGATCATCAAGTCCAACCCCCTGCCCTGGGCAGGAACGAGTGCTGGCATCATAATACCCCAGCCAGATATCTATCCAACCTCCTCTTGAAGACCCCCAAAGGAGGGGAGAATGCCCCCTCCCTTGGGAGACCATTCCAGAGCCTGGCAGCCCTAACTGTAAAGTAATGCCTCCTGATATCAAGCCTGAACCTGCTCTCAATCAATTTGTGATTCCTTGTTATCCCAGGTGGTGCCCGGGGGAACAGAGCCTCACCTATTTTCCACTGGTCCTTCCTGGTGAATTTATAGATGGCCAACAGATCCCTTCTCAGTCTTCTCTTGTGGAGGCTAAATAGATTCAGGCCCTTTAGTCTATCTTCATAGGGCCTGGCCTGCTGCCCCCTGACCATGTGAGTGGCTCTCCTCTGGACCCTCTCAAGGTTAGTCATATCCCTCTTGAAGTGCGGCACCCAGAACTGGACGCAGTACTCCAACTGCAGCCTGACTAGCGCCACATAGAGGGGAAGGATCACCTCCCTGGACCTGCTTCTGTAGATGCACGACAAGGTGCTGTTAGCCTTACTAACCGCTTTCTCGCATTGGCGGCTCATGTCCATCCTGGTGTCAACAATGACTCCAAGATCCTTTTCAGCCACTGTGTTGTTGAGAAGGGTATTCCCCAGCCTATAGATATGTTGCAGGTTCCTTCTCCCTAGATGCAGCACCTTGCACTTGTCTGCATTGAGTTCCATTTTATTCTCATCTGCCCACCTCTGTAACTGGTCTAGATCTAGCTAGATTTTGTCCTTCCCCTCCAGTGTGCCCACTTCTCCCCTCATCTTTGTGACATCAGCGAATTTGGACAGCGTGCTTTCCACGCCCACCTCCAAGTCACTGCTAAAGATGCTGAACAGTGCAGGCCCGAGGACCGAGCTGTAGATGTGCCCACTGAGTGTCACACAAATATAACCCCCAACCAAAACACGAACCACTGGGAAGGAAAAGAATCCTACTCCAATAATCGTTAGTGCGGGAGGCAGAGCAGGCCCTGCTGGGATGTATGTTTGAGGATTCATAGTATCATCAAAAAGTAGAGCTAGGAGGGACCTCTGAAGGTCATTTAGTGCAACCATCTGCCTGAGGCAGAATCATCCTTGGCCAAACTATTCCATACAAATCCTTGTCTAACCTATTACTAAAACTATGTAATCAACTAGGTGACTCTGGCATTGACATCTACACAGTCAAATGGGTGGCAAATTGGCTCAACAGTCGCACCCAGAGAGTGGTGGTGGATGGGTCGTTTTCGACCTGGAGGGATGTGGGCAGTGGAGTTCCCCAGGGCATGCAAGTAATGCAAAGCAATAAACTACAGAGTTTATTGCTCTTGGGTGCCACATCTACACATGTGCCACAGCATGTTGAGGCAGGTCAGAGCAGCCCCAGCTGACAGGGGGCCCTGCAGGTCAGCCTGCTAGCGTGGGGCTGCTTCCCCTGGCTCAACATGCTGTGGAGGGGCTGGCTGGGGCACAAGGCTGGTCCGGTATGGGGCTAGCCAGAAGGCAGCCCCTGCACTGAAGCACCCTTGCACCCCAGCCAGCCAGGTCAGCATCTACACATGCTCAGCTGAGGAGTAAAAAACTCCACAGCAGGATAATACTTGTAAGTACTTACAAGTATTATCCTGCTGTGGAGTTAGTTTACTTCAGCCTAAAAGGGGCACATGTAGATGTGTGATGTTTACTGTGGAGCTAATTAAGCTACTCCACAGTAAACGTCTTATGTAGATGCTCCCAGTGTCAAGCAACATGATGCCATTGTTCCAATTTAGGATGAAAAGTTAAAATACCGTTTTTGTGTGTTGATTGAAAAATTCTTAAAATATACAATCTTAAATAATTCCCTTCACTATCTCCAAGTCCAATATTTCATTTTAGTTTGTTGAACTGAACTGAAATATTTCATTTCAACTTCAGTCAACATTATACTTCACACAGCCATTGCAGCACATAAAGGGAGTTGTAGCCAGTGGGCATTATGTCCCTGTTCTTATTTCTGGATCAAGATGCCAGATCTAGACTATGTCTTTCCTGATTCCCATTGGACCCAATGGGCAAATGAGGTAACTATGATGTATCATGGGGGAAAAAGTCAGCCCAGCCTGTGGAGGTCTGAGGTGCCTGAATTCCACTGCCATGAACCACAGCAGTAGTTGGGACAGACACAGATTAACATTGACATTAACCGAAACAAAACTTTGTGATTCGGTTGGAAAAACTGGAATATTTTGTTTTGGGATTTTCTAGAAAGTAAATGTTTCCTTTTGAGATATCCAACAGAAAATTGAAAAAATGTCAGCACAATTGGCTGCAGTTCTCTCTGGAGAAAAAAACACTGACAGAATATTCTAACTAAATCTAAATATAAAGGATTTTGCTTGGAATTTTCTTGGTGCTTTTCTTCATTAATCTATTAGTCTGCAGGATAAAGTATTCTGAATCTGACATAGTATTCAACTCAACTATATAGAATCCTTTATGCAGTGACATAACTGGCAGATAAAATAGTATTTGTTTGATGCAATATATATATTTCTATAATAAAACTATGCATAATCCTTAATAAAAAGCACAACTACAGGATAACATATGGTTTTATGATCTTGATGAAGATGTGGGATTAGGATGCCAGTTTTGCGTTTCCTGATATTTGTTTAATTATAGGTCCATAGAATCATCTGACACAGTTGCCCACAATAGCAAAGGAGTTAAATCAGTAACATTAGCGGTTCCCCTTCCCTGTGTTTCTGCTTTGTGCAATTTCAGGCCAGCAATATGACCTAAACCTAAGGAGTTATGTTCAGAGCTAACACCAAGTCCAAACCAATTTCCCCTGCCCTCAGGAGGGAGATTCTCAGTATACCTTTGTGTAGCTGTGAGCAGAGTTCAACACTATAGAAGTGTTTTTGTCTCTAACTTCTCTTGCAAGCCATCCTGTCCCTGACACTCCATCAAATGAATGAACATTGAAATAATAGACGCTTGCCTATGGATTCCAGGGGTGCGTCCACATGAGCCTGCATGTGCCTCCTGTGGCATCTCAAAGCAGTTTGAGGTGCCGTAAGAGGCACACTAGGAACAGAAAAGCATTCCCTGCAGCACAGGCTCAAAATGTTATACTTGGAAATCTAGGTATCAAAAAAAAAAAGCGCAGCAAAAAAGCTGAGGCAACCGGAGGCTGGGGTTCTCCAAAGAGATGCTCTGGTAGCCAGCCAGAGCGTCTCTATAGCTGCCCCCTGCCCTGGTGCTGAAGCATGCTGCCTCTATGTGCAGGACAAGGAGCAGCGCAGACTGCATAGATCCCAGCTCCATCCCGAGGTGAGTAGAGACTGGGATGGGAAGGTCTGGAGTGGGGGCTGTATGGGTATGGGGGACTATGTATGTGTGTGGGGGCTGCTTGGGTGGGTCACCCGCCTATCCCCTGCACAGCCCACA